GCGTTGGAATCCCGAGAACAATGATTTGGCATGCTTCAGTCAGGGTCTTCAAACGGTTGTCTTCCAACGAGGCAGTTTCTTCAGTGGAAATGAATCGCTGCATGGGTTTATGAAGAGGGAGTTTGGAGGGAGGGTTTATTCCAACATTGTTGATTACGTTTGGGTTTACACTGGTCCCCGAGGCTTGCCAGGTAGCGGCGACCGTAGGAGCCGTCGGCGAGCGTCGCCAGCGTGGCCTGTGGGCAAGCGGCCGCACCAGGGTGGATCGCGTAGACCAGGCCGTCCGTGACCCGCAGTCGCCCCCAGGAGCAGGGAGGCACGCGCGTGGCGACGTTCGACGCCACGGCGGACGGCACGCAGGTCGCTGACCTCGGCCTCCCATTGGGTCGTCCGGTCGCTCCCTTCTGGACTTTCTGGCAGGTCAGAGGAGCATGAAGTATTGATATTGATAGTTTTCCAGATTTCCAGGTTTTCCTGTTCTTCCGCGCGGGCTCCAGGGACGAATGGTCGAGCGCATTCCGTCGCGCAGGTTCTTTGCGTGGTGTTCGCAGTGCGTTTTTCGCGCATCGGAGCGCCCTCGAAGATTCCAAGCTGCATGCTGTGTTACTCTTGGGGAGCCCGCGAGTCGCAGCTGCCGTGGCGCTGTTTTCGAGGTAGCCCCTTCGAATGCTGTTCGCGGGCGCAACGCGCGGCGCGCGCTGCGCCCAATCGCGCGCGGCGCGGCGCGTGAACCAGCCCGCCGCGCCCGTCGGACCGCCCGGACATGATTTCTGGATTGTAGAATGTGTCACAAAACGCTTCCGTTTTTTTCCGCGCAAGCGGTTCCGGAATTTTTCAAAAAGGAGCCCGGAAATTTTCAATCAACAGTTTTGAGGGGTGAAATGCGCCCGCCGCGCAGGACATCTGAAGAATTCTGAAATCCAGAACTTTCCAAAATGGATTCCGGAATTTTTCAAAATCGATCCCGGAAATTTTCAAAAATGATTCTGGTATGTTTCAAAAAGTAGGCCGGACATGTTCAAACATGTTCCCAGGGTTGTTCAACTTTACCCCCGCAGAATTTTCCAGAGTCAACCATGTTTTGCCTTGCCAGGTCTTTGGAAATCCGCCGAGGCGCGCGGCGCGCGGCGGCGGGCGATGCGACGGTGCGCCACCGTCCCCCCCGCGCTCGGCAACGAAAAGGGGGGCCAGCAACTTCCATATAGCCCCTTACGGGCGACCACTCGATTGCGAATGGGTGACTGACCAGCGGCGCCAGCCAGAGTAGACAATACTCGACGCAAACTGAACCCCGCGCGAAGGCTGTTAGAAATCCCGGAATCTCCGGAACGTATCAATAGCACGCTGTGTCAATAGATTCTTCCCCGTCCTAGGGGGTCGGTGAGCTCCAGGGGGGACATGAGCCCAGGGCTGCCTCAAGATCCAGGCTCAGTGGGGGGTCGCACGTGGCCTTGGGGGAAGGGACCATCCTCGCCAGAGGGCCCCTCCGCCTTGACAGGGTCCAGGTCAGCTCTGCTTTCCGCCTGGTTGTCTCGACGTCCTCCTCCTAGCTCCCAGGCGGGGGGTCGGTGAGCCCCCAGGGAGGGTGCGTGTCCACGACAGCACTGCCAGGAAGGCCACTGATCGTGGCAAACGCGGGTGAAGACATGCCAGCCCTTGGCGGGGCCAACCTGACATCGCAGCCTTGGACGGGGGGGTCTGGCCTGCCGGGGGGGGAGTACGTCTCCACGGCCCAGGAGTGCCACTACCAGGGACGTGGGCCCGCGCACCTCCAGGAGACAGGCGTTTTCCGTAGCGGGTCCGCATCGTGGCGACGAGGCTCTGACCAGTGGGCCCCTCGACCTCCGTCGCATTCACCACGAAGTCGTCCTCTCCGGCGGGGACGCCCACGCGCAGCTTCGAGTCGGCCTCGAGCAGGCTCTCGCCTCCCGCGTCGTCGCCGAGGGTCTCCGCCAGGTCTCCACGGTCGTCGTCAGCGTCCATGGCGAAGATTTCGACCCTGCCCTCGACCTCCTGGACCTTCACCTCGCACCTCATCGACTTCTCGTCGACTTCCTGCAGCTCCTCCTCCTCCTTCTTCTCCTCTTCCTCCAAATCGGCCTGGCCCCCCGCCTCGGGGGCGCCGAGGCCAGCAGCCCTCGGTGAGCGCCTAGTCGTCCTCCTCAGTCAACACTTGGTCGTCCTCCGCTGTCATGTCGCCGTCCGCCTCGTCGTCCCCCTCCTCCTGGATCCCGTCCTCCAGCCCGTCCGCACCCACCTCCTGGATCCCGTACTTCAGCCCGCACTCCAGCGTCCCGATCGTCGTTGTCCGCGTCGTCCATCCGGTCGTATTCCTCGCGGTCCACCACCGCGTCCCCGATCCCCACCTCAGCCGCCTCCCGGAGGGTCTCCTCCCTGGCCCCCGTCACTTCAACGACGAAGTCGTCCTCGTTCATGGCCACTTCACCACGTCAGCGCCGTCGAAACGCACCTCGAGACTGGAAAGCGTGCTGGCGCCCTCCGTCAGCAGCTGCTTGGTGCCGCCGGCGTCGAAGCAGCGCGCCAGCAAGCAGGTCCGCACGCCGGCGCCCTCCGACGGCAGCTGCTTGGTGCCGTCGGCGTCCTCGAACGTGTCGTCGCCATTGCCCTCGTCGACGCTCAGGCCGAAGTTGCGCTTGCAGAGGACCTTCCGGTCCTGGAGCCGCGCCTCCCGATCGGTCGGCACGCCAGCGCCTTTCGTCAGCAGCCGCTTGGTGCCGTCGGTGTTCTCGAACGTGTCGTCGGCGCTGTCGTCACCAGAGTGAGGCGCCCTCGCTTCCGCCACGACGCCGCCGCCAGCAAGCCCAGGCGGCCAGGCAGGCCCGGCCGCGGCAGCAGCGGTCGCCGTAAGGCCCGCAGCCGTCGGCCGTGCGGCGGGCGCGACGCAGCCGGCGGTGACGGCGGCGCAAGCGGCGTCCGCGACGGCTACGGCGGCGGCAGCGGCGGCCGAAGCGGCCCGGCCGGCGCTGGAGGCCGCGCCCGCGGCGCCGTCGCCCGCGCCCGTGGCGCCAGCGACGGCCCTGGCGACACTGGCGGCAGCCGCCGTGGCATCCGGAGAGTCAGCGGCCGCCTCCGCGGCACCCCGAGAGCAAGCAGCAGCAGCAGCAGCAGCAGCAGCAGCAGCAGCAGCAGCAGCAGCAGCAGCAGCCCGGCGGCCGCCGGCGGGCCGACCAGCAGCACCACGGGCGCGAGCAGCAGCGGCGCCGCGCTGCCGTCGCCGCGCGCCGAAGGAGGTCGGTCAGTGGAAGAGCTGCCTTCCCCGTGGGCCGACATGACTCTTGAGCCAGCTGGGCTTGAGCCAAAATGGCCAAGGAGGGCTCAAACAGTTGTGAACATGTGGGATGATCTGCTTCAGGGAAGTGCGCAGGGATAGCCACGTTTTGAAATAGATCGACCCTCTATCCGTGTAAATGTTGCACGTGTTCAAACTTCTACCATCACAGATGCGAAAGTCTGTGGGCAGAGGCCATTCTGAATACGAGCGGTTGCATATATTAAACGAGAATGGCGGCGCTAGGGCGAGAGCCTCATTTTGGAAACCACCGGCCCTCCATCCTTGTAGCTGCTGAAGCTTCGTAGACTCACGATAGTAAAACGCAAGAAGGTCTGAAAAGAAAAACCCAGATTGGTCTACGAACACGTCTGGTGATGCGACAAAGGAGGGGGGTAGAGGAGGAGGGAGGGAGAGAGTAAAGGAGGAAAAAGGTGGTGGTGGTGGTAGTGGTGAAGGAGGACGAGGGAGGAAGGTGGAGCGAGGAAAGGAAAGGAGTGGAGAATGAGAAGGGGGAGGGAAGAAGCGGAAGAGTAAGGGGAAGAGGGGGTGGGACGAGGAAGAGGAGGAAGGGGCGAGGGAGGAGGAGAAGGAGGAGGAGAAGGATGAGATGTGAAGCGCAGGAAGAGGAGGAGTCAAGGGGATGACGAGGAAAAAAATAAACGGTCCCTTGTCCATTCCGAAAGACTCAGATAAGGACACCGCGGTTCGTGCCAGTCTGACGCATAGGGGCAGAACTCTCTCACCTGTCTCGGCTTTAATCCCTTGGCCACCTCTCAGCCTTCCCCCCTTCCTGCTTCGGCCATCGGTTTTCGAATAACGACAGTTCAGCAGTTGTGATTTTCCAGAGCTGCGAGCCCAAGGGGTGACCGCAGCCATCCCCTGGCCACGACCGTGTGGGTGCTTAGCCCACCGATACGCCACAGATGTTGTTCGTGCGGTGCTCTTTGTGACTCGTAAGAGTGGGGGCAATGAGCAATGACTAGAGCTGGACATGTGGGAAAGAAAATGCGGAGAGGAAGAGGCGAAGGTTTGGAGTAGCTGGGACGCTTGAAGGAGTCTGGATCTTCATCGAACAAGTACGTGGAGCGCTCCGACACGTACGTCGACGGCCACTTCCATGTGGGCACGGGCGGCTGCGAAGGCATAGGCGCCCAGTTCCACCGGCCAAATCGCTGAGACGCGCGGCCTGGCGTTGGGATGATGCAGTGGGTGAGCGACTGCAGAGAGCTCATCCCCCTTCATCCCCTCCTCCTCTCCTCATCTCGGGACAAGGAGGGTTACGAAATCTGATGTATGCAGCTGCTTTCGGCCCTGCCGCCCAGGCACCTTCCTCGATACATGGCCGCCTCCAGCGCTCGGAGACGCCAGGAGAACCAGCTGCATGCAGCTGATTCGCCAAAGCCCTTTCCCCCCCCCTCGTCCGACTCGATTATGGCATCCGCCTCTTCCTCACCCCTGTTCACCTCCGCATCGTCACCACATCATTCCCATGGCCTCACCTTATGACATCGCCCGGCTAGCGGCCGCGCTCTGCGGCTGCCGCGCCTCCGCGCGCGCGCTCGCAGAACCTCCCCTGCACGGACGGGCTCTCGCACTGGCGTTGCGGCATTGCCTTCGGCATTCTCTTTAGGCCGCGGTTCATTGCATGTCTTTGCCTACTGCAGGTCCTTGTTCGCCTGGCGACCTTGAGATTTGCCCTGTGGCCGCGATGAGTCGGTATCTGGTGATCGCGGCGCGGCAACGTGCATTCCTTTTGGCATCATGGCGCCGAATTGGGACGGCATTGTTTCATAGCTACCTCGACGCACGCGCTCGGAGCTTCCCCCGCACGGACGGGCTCCCACCCGACAATGTTGATGCATTCCCTTCGGCATAGCGGCGCTGAACTAGGACCACGTCTGCGTGGAAGTGACTGATGAGATAGAGGCACAGGAGGTCTTCACGTCGAAGGGCGGTACGAGCTGCATCGGTTGCGTTCGTTCGTGCTGTCTAGCTGCCGCTGGAAATTGCTGGCAAATCCCACGAGACGGAAACTTGGAAGGTTTTGGTGCAGGGGACGGACTTCGAGGAACCTTGTTGCGTGGCGGTGATGAGTCCTGGCCAAATTCCTCATCATTTTGTTCGTTATCCTGCCCATCATCTTCTACATGCGAATCCTCTTCCTCCCCCTTTGGGGAAGTCTCGTGCCTTCCCATCAGTGCAGACGCATCTTCGCAACTGCTCGACTAGTGCTGGTTCAAGGAGTCGCGCGACTCTTGGCCAACACGTTCTTACCGCACACTTTCAAGGGCGGAAGGGAAAGAGAATCCATTACCACCCTAAATCTCACATCCTCGCCTATCTGGTTTTCACACAGGAGAAGAAACTGTTGTTAAAGAATGCGTGGCACAGTCTGAAGCAAGCCTCCAGAATATTCATGAATCTGCTTGTCGGCTCGACCGGCCAACAGCCGCCCGCACACCGAACAGCAACTATTAAGATATCAAATCAAATCTTCAGCAACAAATATCAAGATACCACCACAAATCTTGATGCAAACATCGTCCACTCACTTGAGAGGGTGCACTCATCATCTCTTCACGTGAGAGGGTGCACACAATCTCCTCACTCAACCAACCCACACACACAAAGTTGGTAATGAATCTCAATCCAATCTCTTCCACCACCCAACGTAAACACAAAGTTGGTAGTGGAATCTCAATACAATCTCCCCACTATCCAACATAAACACAAGGTTGGTAGTGAAACTTCAATACCTTCTCTCCACCATCCAATATAAACACATCGTCGGTAGTGAAATCTCAGCGTACCTGAGCTGACTTGATGATGCTGTAGGCGATGTAAGTCTTGAGACCCGGATCCAGACTGTAGCTCCTGCTCTCGTCTGCGTCCAGCTTCAGGCGCCGGCCCAAGCAGATGGCGTAGTGCTTGTCCTTGCTGTATGTGTCTGCGAAGCTGCTGCCCTCGTAGTTGCCACTCTTGATGCGCATCGGTCCCAATGTAGCCAACCATTGCCTCAGGAGAGCACTGTCCCCCAGGTAGATTTGTCCATCCTCCGTGATCTCGTCGGAATACGTCTCCACCTCAGGCTCAGCCTTCAGGCGTAGTGTATATGTCTTGAGCTTTGCCTGCTTGGGCACCTCCGCCTTGAAAATGTTGTCGCTGCTTGAACTGTCCACCTCCATCGGTGCCATACCGAGGTCCTCGTCGTCGCTCTGCTTAGGCTGCATTATGTTGATAAACATAATAACTCCCGCAATGATGGAGACGAACGTCACCACCGTAGGAGACATCGAAAGACAAATTCTATATACTGGGGGTGCACAGAACTGAAGCACAACTGCAACTTGGTCAGTTATCTGAATGGTTCGCTGCGCGCCACTCCTGTCCATTGGGTAGTTGTCCCTCGCATCTTCCATGTGTAATGCTTTGACACACTCGGTCTCGTCATAATTCTCGTCCTTGTCATCGTAGAAGCACTCGTCCACATAGTTGTACGTCTCCAACAGCCAGGTCGATATCTCATCGTTCCCATCGGTGTCGTCGTACAGTTCCTGCTTGACGTACTTCGCCATCTTCGCGTTCAGGTCGTCGACCTCTTTGTTGGCTGCCACCTTCTCTGGTCCAGCTAGCTTCCGTCCGCGTGTTGATGGTGCTCTGTCAGCAGGCCCAAGAGTCCACAAGTTAGATATTACAATCTTCCTCGCGTAGTCTCCTGGAATCACTTTCGTCAAACAGGCCGCTGGCATCTGCTCGCTCTTGACCCACTTGATGCTGACCTCCTCTAGTGACTGACGTAGTCTAGCCGCCTCCAGACAAAGCCTCCTATCCGTCATAGATACCTTCTCCTTCGTGATCGTGTCATACAGGCTCTTGCAGTCGGTCACCGAAATGCATGTCACCGGGCAGGTGTCATGTACGATCTCGGCCGCATCGATTTCTTGGTACAGGATCTCCGCTAAGGTTGGCCTTGTCCAAATTAACATACCCACCGAATCTGCACATGAGTATGCCTCCGCCGATATAGTAGATCGCACCACTCGTTGAATCTTTGAAGACTGCCACCCAACGCAATGTACATTGTACTTGTTGCCGTGGTCCTCATTGATCTTCTCGTCACCTAGCATGATGAAGTGCCCTCGTTGCGATCTGTGCTTCGGCAGGTTGTCGAAAGCACAGTCGGTCGCGTTGATCACCATGGTCTTCCGCAGTTTCAGACCAGCTGAGAACTTGATGAGTAAGTCGTCCCACTTCTGGAGTCTCCTGATAGCTGCATTCCCATCTTGTAGATCCTTCACCGTCGGAGCTCCCGGCGTCGATGCCAATCGGGATGCCTCGAACGCTTCTTCGCAGCAAATCATTCGCGCAGCCCACTGCAGTTGTCCAACCACCACTCGTAGTCCTCGATGCTCTGCAGGGGTAAGTGCACTGTCAGGTGCTTTGCTGCGCTCCCTGGAGACACGCACAGTCTGCATAGACTTCACATTGGCCTCCACGGTGACGTTTGTACTGCCGTCCTTGTCCTGCTGATAGGCCGGGCCACAGAACGTCGCCTTCTCCTGCCTCGCATACTTGACCTCGCCAAAGTCAATATCCTCCTGAAGGTCCTTCATGATCTTGGCGCCCTCAGGGTCGCCCTGCTTGATGACCACGAGGAAGTTGTCCACGAGTAGACACATGATCCCGGTGATCGTGTTCTTCTTGTTGCGCTTGATGAAGGCCGCGGGCTCGAAGCTCAGGCCTTCCCATCCAAGCTTCACGAGCGTCGCGCGCAGCTCCATGTACCAAGCTCTTGCTGCATCGTTGGCCCCGTAGATGATCTTGTTAAGCTTCAGCAAGCCGCCTGCTTTAACACCTGGGACGGTACACTTCCCAAGGTTCGTCGGGATCCGAAAGTATAGGTCGCGTGTGATCGCCTTGCCTTATAAAAAGGCTCCCTTCACATCTGCAACGATCAGGTCCAAGTTGAGGCTCGATACGATGCTGCACAGAAGCAGCGCCATCTGTGCTGAGACTGTAGGAGAGTCTCGACGTAGCTTGTCGTCGAACTCCTCTTCGTAGCCCCTTCTGCATATTCCCGCCTTCGGCTCAAAGGTCGTAGGGTCCTTGTCCACCCAGACCACCTTGGAGCTTAGGATCTTGTCCGGGTCTATCTTCCCAACCGCTGCTCCTGATATGTGGGTTGCTGCATCGTGCCTGCACCAGGTATTCCACTCCTTCTCCACTGCACTCTGCAAATTCTTCCACTTGAGCTTGACGTCGCCCAGCGTCTTCAGTTTGATCTCCTGATGTTTGCTAGCCCTTGTCGGCTGAGTGCACATCCGCGCGGCCACGAATGCTTCAACCAGGAGTGGTGTCTCCGCCAGCTGCTTGACTGGTCCCGTTTGCACCTTCGCACGCTTGGTGCTGATGGGCGCGTCGTCCAGCAGGAACTCCTTAAGCGTCACGGGATGTTCCTGGCGCTTGCTGCCCTGATGGCGCTCCGGCTGTCTTGCACTCGATATTATTGGAGCCCGTTTCTGTATTGCTTGGGGCATGACGGGCGTCATGGCCCCCGGCCCCCCCCCCCTATGACGTAACGCTCCCCCTCCAAGTGCGCTCCGGGCACTGCCCCCCAGCGCGCTCCGAGCACTGCCGCTGTGCGCATTGGGATCCGCGTAGGTGTCCGCGTAGGAATCCGCATAGGAGTCTGGTCCGCAGTCGTCGTCGTCGTCGTCGTCGTCGTCGTCGTCGTCGTCGTCGTCGTCGTCGTCGTCGTCGTCGCTGTCGTCGCTCGTGGCTTGTCGCTCGTCGCTCGTCGCTCCTAGTCGTCGTGCGCGCGGACGTGGCTGAAACCAGTTTTTTGTTCCGGGCCGATGACGGCAATCATCTAGGGGGGGATGGAGGGGTCGATGACGTCACGTTTCGCGCCGGCGGCGTTTGGGAATGCTTAGGAATGACGGAGGACGGGTAGCGCCAGCGTGCAGGTGGCGATTTGCACCACAACGCCTATGTACACCACAGTGCCTGCGTGCACCACAGCGCCTGTGTACACCACCGCCTGCGTACACCACAGCAGCCGCGTGCAACACAGCGTCAGTTTGTGCCACCGCGCCTGCGAACATAACAGCTCTTGTGCACACCACAGCGCCTGCGTTCACCACATCAGCCGCATGCAACACAGCACCAGTATACACCACAATGCCTGCGTGCACTGCAGTGCCTGTGTACACCACGGCGCTTGTGTGCACCGCAGCAACCGTGTGCAACACAGCACAATTGTTGCATATGGAATGCGATAGCGAATCCTTATGACAAAATGGAGCGCTTGTGGATTCCACCAAACAACATAAACAAATCCTTATGGACAACGGAGCGCCGCTGGAGTCTACGTGTCCCGAGTCCGCCCGCATCACCCTAACTCCTCCCTTTGCGCGTCCAGGAGATTCCAGCTAGACTGGCTGTCCGAAAACCAAGTGGACCGATTCAGTAGACCATTCTGCGGACGTGCGCTGAGATGCGCACGTGCGCTGCAGCGCCAGTCCGCACGACAGGGGGTAAGAGGGTGGAAGAGGAGGAGGAGGAGGAGGAGGAGGAGGAGCAGGAGGAGGAGGAGCAGGTGGAGGTGGAGGAGGAGGAGGAGGGAAGAGGTAAAAATGTCGCATTCGATTATCTGCAATGTCCTGGCGTGGCGTCTAGTTGTCCGCAGCAGATCCCGACGTACATGCTCCTTCTACGTGTCCTATGCACGCAGGCATTGTCG